CAAAAATCTGAACATGAAATGAAAAGAGTTTATACCCCCAGGGGGAAAAGGTATACAAAAGAAAAACATACAAACTCTTGTAATTTGGAAACTTACTCTTGCCATGTTAAACGAAGGAAATCGTGAAAATGCTTTTGAAAGCACATCATCGTTCACCTCATTACCCAGATCACCACAAAATAGGCGAAAGTCATCTGAGGAACAAAAACAAAAGTAAAAACATCAGAACTAGAAGAAAACAAGGCACTAGCGGGAAAAAAACACAAGATTTCCAACTTCCAAAAAGAAATAAATATGACAATAAAATAGTTCATACTTTCAGGCCATTCCGCAAGTGTTGGATCCTCCCATGGTTGACCAGCAGCTTTACGAGGGATTGCTTTCTTTTTGGTTTCAGCTTTGTGCTCAATCTCACTGCTTGCAAGTGCGGTCTTTACACTTTCAAGTGCTTCAGGGGTAACTATCTGAGCATCCCTTTGAAATAACTGTTGGGCCTGTTCAAATATACAGCAACAAGTTACGGAAAAGAAGTGTGTATTTGAAGTTTTAACTCACGGCTCTATAATAAAATTAAAGGACAAATTTAAACCAACAAATGTTTGGATTTACATTATTCAAAATGCGAAAATAGCTAAAATCAACACTAATCAAGTGTAGTGATTGCAAATTAGAATTATGTATCTAATTCTTTTGTTAAATTTTCGTTTTCTAATTCCTACAACACAATTTTTCGTGTTTTAAACTATAATTCTCAGTTAACAGAAAAAAAATCACGTTCCTCTAGAATCAGGAGGAAGAAACAAAATTAAACACGACATGATCCCTAAACTTCATGAATATATAATTTCCAAATAAAAAGTTTTATTTATAATTTAGTGTTCATCTGAATAAAAAGTTTTATTTATAATTTAGTGTTCATCTGACCTGATGGTATTGAGGGAGGGAATACACACCGGAGACGGGAGCGACTGGAATGGGCTGGGGCGATGGGACATAAGGTTGGGCCTGTTGCTGGAGATGAAACGGCAAAGGGAAATACGACTGGGTTCGCTGTCGTTTGGTAGGTGAATTGAGAAGAGGATGAGGAATGAGTTGGGGCTGAAGACGGTGGGATCGACATGATTCAGATGGCGGAATTAGGGGGCCGGGCGTTTGTTTGGGTAGAAGGAAGACGGTACTAGCTAACGATAACGTGGAGGGAATTTTCTGGATTTCTCGGGGGAGTAGTAGCCCGTAACAAACAATGATTTTAAGAAAGTTCTGGATTTTGGAGTTCTTGCAGGTAAAACGTTGCCGTTAAGTGAATGGGAAAGGACAGGGACGATTTTATCAGATTTTCGAGGACGGGCCAAGTCTGGGTACAATGAGCCCCATAAAATTAAGGTTAAACTACAATCTTCAAGAATGAAGATAGATTTAAGGTGAAATACACTCTTGGGTCCCCTAGTATTTTAGTTTTATATAAAATAATCATCTGACTTAAAAAATTAATAAATTTATTATGATAACAATTTAACGAGTAATGATGTTGAAGCTAATAAAAATTTCCATAATAATAAATTTAATTTTTAATTTGATTTAAATTTTAAAAATTAATCATTAATATTTTATTATTCTATCAATTTAGTCATAAAATTAAATCGAAAAAACCTTTATTAATGAGCCTAACCGGCAAACGACTTATGAAAAGCATGAACGGAACAATAAACCTAAAAATCATATGAGAACCTGACTCGATTTTCTTATTTTTTGAAAGTAAAATTAAACCATCCACTATTTAACATTCACGTCGTTACTTTGTGCTGTCACCATTGTTGATCTTCTTGTCGTCCTTTACTGTATAGTCTCAAAAACGCCTCACTTTTTTTATAAAACATATTTTTTGTTACCGTCATTTATGGTCACGTCGACCACCAATTACCTCCTAAACCTTCCACCACTATTTTTATATGAGAAAACACATTTTTTTCCCGAAACAAATCCTGAATCCCACTTGAAGCAGTAGATAAATACATCTCTACCTCACAAAGTTCCATTTCCTTTTATTATCTCTCTACAACCATTGCTCCTATTTATCAGCTTATTATTATTGTGAGTTTTCATTGCCTAGTTTAGTAAGAAGTTTCATTTTTAAATTATTTAATCCATTGTGCCATAGGCATAATATAAACTGAAATTATGAGTTGCTTCCATAAATATGGGAAGACCTCCTTAAAAATTTTCTCAAAATAAGCTGTATTTTTTTCAACTTAGGTTTTCTCTTAATATTTTGTGGCTCTTTTAATTTTTTCTTCATTTTTTGTTTAGTCGATAACAATATCAATCTTAATGTTTATTGTCGATTGTCAATGATTATTAGTTATCTTACTTTTTCATATTATGTCATTCATTTTCCTTTTTCCTTGAGTTTTATTTTCAATTTTGAATAAGAATCTTTATTATTGTGACATATTTTTCTATGCTCTTGTGGCATGTGTTTTCTCTACTACTGTGACACAATCCTTATGACTTTTTGTACGTTTTTTGCATACATTTGTGGTCGTTTTGGTGTTCACACAAGACTCTCACAACATTTATTTTATGATTGTTTATCAGTAGTCATGTATAGTCAGATTCCCTCTTTGATAAAATGTTGCTTTGCCGATATAATTAGAATTGTGTAACGAAGCAATCTGTCAAATAGTTTGGTTCGCTTACCACTCATTTATCACTTCACAAAAGTATTTTGCTCGACATAGACAATGAATATTGATGTTGGTGGTCATTCTCAAGACAATTATTTATTTTTCTTCGTAACTTTGAGTTTAATGTTTTTTATTTTTGTATAAGTTTTTTTGGTAACTATTGTTCTCATTTTTTTTATTTATTCTAGATGCATTCTAATTATGATTCCCTTAGTGTGTTGTAATTATGATTATTTTCATATTTTTATTAATAAAATTTAGTTGTAATTATTAAAAAAAAAACAACAACAAAGAATAAAAGGAGTATTTCATCATAACAACTTTGATAATTTTAGTACTTGTGTACCAACATTCTCTTCCTGTAGTGTGAAAAGTTACATTTGAAGTCTTAATGTTTACGAAAAGTTATCTGTTCTCTTATGCGAGCTTTATATCATATGACTTTGTTACCAATTCTTCTATATGTTAATTATTCAAATAAATTATTATTTTTATTTAAGATTAAATTTACATTCATATTATTATTATGTTGTAGATAAGTTACAATGGTGGGCGTCAAGCTAATGAAAAATCAAAATCAACAAAGCCAAATTTGGACAATGTAATAGTTTAATGTTGGTAGAGAATAGTAGTGACCCTCAATGATATATGAGGTGCTAAATATGGGGATGCTCTGTTTCTCTCAAGTATGTAATGCTGATATATTCATTGATGGAACATACTAAAATGAGTTTAAATGTCATAAGTTGATGTGTTTCTTTGTTGAAATGATAGTGGCAATAAGATATTATAACAATGAGTTTCTCTAATCAATTGTGATCTATTTTTTCTATGGAATTCATTTAATTATATATTACAAGGTAATATGTTTATAGTATTTGCTCAATCAATTTTATTTGTATAGAGTTTTTTCTAATTATTTTTCTAATTTACTATTCAATTCTAAAATTTTAAATTCAAAAGAATTCAATAAAATTGTTTGATAAATTATTGATTATCTAAAAAAGATGAATAGTCGAGAAACTATTGTAGAGGAGGAAGAAAAAGAATAATTTTTTTTAAAGATTTGATTCAACTATTTAAGATGATGATTAAATTTATAAATTTTAGATTAAATTGATAAAATATACAAGTTTAAAGATAAAAATTATTATTATATTAAATAATGTCATCTTTATATTAATTTTTAATTTTCAATGATCATAATTAAAGCGAAATATAATGTTATATATTATTTTACAAAAATTTAGATGACAATAAAAAAGAGAACAAATAAGATACCAAGTAGATTATTTATCCTTTATTTTATTAAGAGACTGTGAATGGTCTTTCAAAAATAAAAAATAATTATTTAAAATTAATTGAATCAATGTTACTTAATTTATGGTATTTATTCAATTAAAATATTGCACTTATGTGTTAAAATATATATCTTTAATATAAAAATAAGTACTCAAACTATATCATTTTTTTAAAATTAGTGTCAATTTTTTTGGTCAATCAAAGCGTCTATCATTACAAACGTTATCACTTTAAATGCATTGACCGTAACGGCTATTAAATTTTTTTATTAAGTGACATATGTCACATTCAGATAATTTAAAAAAAATTAAATTAAAAAATATAATTATATATATATATATAAATCTTTAAAAAATCTTAAAAAGTCCCCAAAACTTTTAAATTCCATCTCATTTCTAGCCTTCGTCGACTGTTGCCAGTCACGCCTCCGTCATGAACGGCCGCCCACATATCGTTGTCCACCCACATATCGTTGTCCACCCGTTACCCGACCATCATCTTTATCATTATCTCAAATCCCTAAATACATAAACCCCTAAACTCTAACATTAAATTTAAAATCACATGAATAAGGATTTTTCCGGCAACTTGACACCAGTTATTCATGAGGATTTAACGCGATCTAGCATTGTGAGTTCATGAGAATTCAACAGGGTGAGGAAGGCTATGCATTCATAGGGGATTCAATGCTGGGGAGGCAATGTGCAGTCGACGGGGCACTGGTTTTCTAATAAAAATGATTTTTAAAATAATATTTTTATTTTTTAAAAATATTTTAAAAAAATATAAATGTGACACATGATAAGTAATAATATTTTATAATAATTTTTATGTCCCAGACACTTAAAATAATAATTTTATAATGTTAGAAATTTAATTGATCGAAAAAAAATAAAAGTCAATTTAAGAAAAAAATGTATTGTTTGGATAATTTTGTTTACATTAAGCAAATATATATTTACCACGTAATCCAAATGCTGTCAATTGCTCCAACAAACATAAATGCAGAACAAATTTATTAGGCCATTGCTAAAAACGGAAAAAGGTACACTAAATTTTTTACCTTTTTAACTTGGATGAAATTATGTTATTTTCAGAATTGATGAATTAGTCCCTTACCATCTCCCTTCTATCTTGGAATTGTTATTAGCTTTGATTTTTCTTTTTCTCAAGGTATTATTTTGATTTGTGGGGTAATCTTGAAAAACACCAATTTTAGAAGAACAAAAAAATATATTGTTATTTTTATAATCATAAAAATAGCATTGGATTTCCTGTTGAATTTGGTGCCTTTTCCTTTTCCTATTGTTCAATTTGGAGTTTTAGGGTTAGGGTTAGGTTAAGATCTGTCTAGAATCGGAATCTGCATTTAATTTTTTTTCCATTTTATAATTTTATTTTAATTTTTTGTGATTTCAAACCTGGAAAGATTTCTGGTGTATTCACAAGGAGTTTTCAGAGCTGCTCTAACTAAAGCCAAATTGCAGAAATATTTCGGATCAACACGATGTAAACTCAATTGTTTTTTGCGTATTTTTTTTACCTGGTGATAATGAAAGAGGAAACTGAATTTTTATTTTGAGCTTTTATTGTTTAATGATTGATTGTGTTCTGAAAATTTTCTCAATCAAATAAGTTGGTAGTGATACTTTAGGGTTTAGGATGATTTAATCTGACTTATTTGTGATGAAAGTAATACATGAATTTATTTAGGTCTCAAATTAAAAAAATTCTAAAAAGAATATTGCTGGATTTGATGTTCAATTATATATGTTGTATTTAAATTCCTAAATGTTATGTTTGATTGTTTTGTTGGACGAACTTAGCTGATCCCAGAAGGGTCTGCAATGGTGATATTTTCTTGTTTTATGAACTTTCTAGAAACAATATGTTGATAATTTGATCATAATGCTATTAATATAAGGGATAGTGATTTTTAAGGTTACTAAATCACTTTCAACTGCATTGCCAGTTTTGGATTTTGAATCAACTCAATCGAGAATGAGAAGGGTCAAGGGATTCATCTTGTTGGTTCAACAAATTAGGCTATAATAGTAGTTTGGGCAGGAGTTTCATCGAATGCATGTTATGACTATTTAATGACTTCAGGCGGTTTAGTTGCAGAATTATATTTGTTTTGCTTTTCAGCTATAATCTGTTACATGATTGTAGGATTTAGGGATTGATTTATGCATGAGATAAATCAAATATTTGTACTTTAGGGTTCAACTTTTATATGTGGCATGATTCAGGATTTAGGTTTGCTTATGCATGAGATGAAGCAATATGATTAATAATGCTTCAAAAATGTTAGAATCAGCAACATGCTTTAGCATTGATCCTTTGTTACAACTGTGTTTGGGGTTGATAGTTCAGCTCATCAAAGGGACATTGAAATCTTAGGACTCATTAGAGAGAGACCTGGATTTCTTTAGGGTTTTTTCTTTACAATTTTTCTATAATAAAAATTATGCTTAACCAATCTTATGATATTAATAGAAAGCCTATTTTAGAGAGGAAATAAATCAACTGGAACAAAAGCACGACAAAATCTAAGAAAGAAATAAAATCACATCCTAGGCTTTATTAGAGACTAAAAAATAACAGCCTTCCCTAACATCCTTATATTATTAATGCTAAAACATCAATCTTTTGAATTTTTCTTATGCGATCTCTTTCTCTCGCTCTTCTGCTGAGGATGAGTCAAAAATGACTTATCAAGTATCATAGGAATTGCCAGAAGAACTAACTAGATGCTGGAACATACTTATCCTAATTTATTCTCCATCTAAGTGCTAAATTGTGGTGTTCTGGTTAAAACCTTAAATCTATTGTAACATTACTTCAGTTTTTACATTTATGTTCATGGCTTTATTTTGAATGGAAATGAAGTTTTTGTATTATGATTTTCTATTTATTTTTTCATTTCTGTGCAGATAAATATTCCTTTTATAGCCGTTCAGTCAAATTAGGTATCCTGAATTGGGCTTCTGAATTGATTCTCTAGTTTTTAAGGTAGGCCTCTTTCATATTCATCTGTTTTCTATTACTTGTACAGAATTTAGTGTTTGAAGTGTTATCCATTGGCTTGTGTAGCAGTAGAGAACTACAGATGGGGACAGAACTTATTAGAGTTTGTGCTAAAGAAGAGACTGATGATATTCTGCCAGTTCCACCAGGCTTTGAGTCTCGTGTATCGTTTACCTTAAAGAGTGGAGAACTGGACAGTAGGAAACATGAGGGTGCTAATGTGATTTGTTGCTCAGCCTCTGCTAGTACCTCTGATGCCAGTCCAGTTCAGAAGGAAACCAGGTTGGCCAATGATGAAAGTACAAAGGTTACAAGGACTATGAGGCGCAGACCTTGGATAAACTATGGTGGATATGATAACAATTCAGGCAACGATGCTGATCATGGAGAGCTTGATCAAGTTAGTTTCTTAAAGCCTCGATAAGTTGTTTCTTTTGTGTTCTTTTCCTTTTTTATCCTCTTTATTGAAAATTTTGTCCTGTTTGGTTAAATTTAAAAGATGCTGATTTTGGAAATTTTGGCAAAACAGTATGCTCTTCCTTTTTGAGAATGCTGCATCTTGGTAATTTCATCTATGCCATTCATTTTGCAGAATCTAAGATTGAGACTTAATCTTCCTAAAGGTGTTATCCGTGGCTGTTCAGACTGTAATGATTGCCAAAAGGTTAGATTGCCAATTTCTTTTGCAATTTCCTCGTTTCCTACATCTTTCATAATTTGCCTCAGGCAGCACAGCTCCTCTATTGACATCTAATTATTTCTCTGTGCTATTATGTTTATAATTCTCTAGCAGCAACATCTTATATGTATGTAATGACTCAGAAGTCCCTTGTAGTTAAGTTTTTGGCAGGATGCCATAATGGTTAATTTATATTATAGTGTAGTTTAAAGCGATAGTTAGTTAATTCATGGACTATCCTGACTGTATAATTGATATGCTGTTTACTTTGTTAACCGGTGTCTTCAAATATTATTTTATTATTTCATTGATATGTGAAGTGTTGAAACAGGTAACTGCAAGGTGGCGTCCAGAAGAGGCATGTAGGCCAAATCTTGAGGATGTACCTGTGTTCTACCCAACAGAAGAGGTATTTAATGCTGATTGCAGTATTTTGAATTGTTTGAATATCTTATTTTGCCTGCCATACTTGTTACTTGTAAATTTTGAAGTTCCACTTTAAATAATTAACTTACCTTAACTGGTTTTATATTGTTTCTCCAGGAGTTTGAAGATACTTTGAAGTATATAGCAAGTATACGACCAAGAGCAGAACAATATGGAATTTGCCGCATTGTTCCTCCATCTTCTTGGAAGCCTCCTTGTCCTCTTAAAGAAAAGAATATGTGGGAGAATTCTAGATTTGCTACTCGTGTGCAGAGGGTTGATAAGCTTCAGAATCGCAATTCGATGAGAAAAATGTCAAAAGTTAAAAGGAGAAGATGCATGAGAATGGTTGTAGATTGTGGGTCAGGTAGTGGAAATATCTCTGGGTCCGCTGATGGTGTATTTTGTGAAGTGGAGGAGTTTGGTTTTGAAGCTGGCCCTGGGTTTACTCTGGATAAATTTCAAAAGTATGCAGATGATTTCAAGGCCCTGTACTTCATGCAGAAGGAAAATGATGTAAATATAGAAGGTAAAATAAGCATTCTTCCAGATCACCACGAGCCTTCAGTTCAGAATATTGAGGGTGAATACTGGCGGATAGTGGAGAAAGCGACTGAGGAAATAGAGGTAAAACTTGTTTGGAAAAATAAATCACCACTCCTTTGATTAATTTATTTTGTGCCTGATTTACATAGCTGTTGGAGCTGCTTTCCTACTCCAGGAAGCTATGGTTGGGATAAAACTTTTCTTTTGGCTTCTGAAACATTGAAAATAAATTTTTGCGGGCTAAGAATTGAAGCATCTAATTGAAGAGATTTTAGAAAGAGTCACAATGAGAAGCTGATGGACAAAATCAGTGCAGGTTTAAGTTGACAAAGGAAAAACATTGTCATTTCAAATAAATTTATTCTGATATTTTTACTTTCCAAAAAGCTTTTCATCAACAGAATTATTTTTCTAATCTATGACTAGGCCAGATCTAATTTCCTTTTTGGTCTGCCGTATTCTTTCTTTCCTTTTAAACAGTTTACAGTTACAAAGAGGTTTTGCTAATTCTTACGTTCGTTTTCTTTTTAAGGTCTTATATGGGGCTGATCTGGAAACTGCGGCTTTTGGCAGTGGGTTTCCTAAGAAGCTAAATCAAGATGGACTTGCCTCCGAAGAAAAATACATAAAATCAGGCTGGAACTTAAATAACTTTCCCAGACTTTCTGGATCTGTCCTCTCTTATGAAAGCAGTGACATTTCTGGTGTTCTAGTTCCTTGGTTGTATGTAGGAATGTGCTTTTCCTCCTTTTGTTGGGTAAGACTTCTAGGTCTATAAACCTCTTTTCCCTTGGCATCAGTTGAACCATTGACTTCAATATTTTCTTTGATAATTTTGCATTACGAACTTGTGAACAAGGGAATTCATGTCTGTTTATTTTGTTTTTGACTTTTTACCCCAAGATGTTCTCAAATATAGATCATGTGCATGTAATATGGCATAATAAGAAGTTGGCATGCTTTAAAGTGATCAGATCCAGGTTGAATTATAGTGCTGATGTGAAAATGTGCATGCATTTGTTGCCAAAATGGTGTGAAATTTTAAGCCACTTTGGCCACTGCAAAATTCTGCAGACAGAAAGTTATGTTTTTGGGTGTTGGCGGAGAAATAGTTCTTTTGAACTTGCACGTTTAATACATTTAAGGCCATTACATATTATACATGCACTTTTATTTTAGGCAGCTATTTACAATCAAAGGATGACTTAAGGATGCCTGTGATTGCTAATTACCTTTTTTTTCATTTCTTTATATGGATGCGACCAGCATGTTGAAGACCACCACCTATACTCACTGAATTACATGCATTTGGGTGCTCCAAAAATTTGGTATGGTGTCCCAGGAAAGGATGCTTCTAAACTGGAGGCTGCTATGAGAAAGCATTTGCCTGACCTTTTTGACGAACAACCTGACTTGCTCCACAAACTGGTGAGCTTAAAAGTTGTATAACATGGTGTTTGCATTTGTAATTATAGCTAAGGTTGACTTTGTCCCTGTTTAGGAGCATGTCATTTTGGACTGCAAACTCAAATGTATCAAAAGGAAAAAAGATACTCTTGCTTAAGTGGTAAAACAAAATTATAATAGCTCTTTATTGGGAGATTTTTTTTGTTACTTTGATGTACCATTTTCTGGTTTCTTGAAATGGCGGATCTGTGATTTTGTCCTACCATGAAGGATTTTTAATCAGTTCTGTGATTTTGTTCTACCATGAAGGATATTTATTCAGTACCCCATGAATATTTGAGCCAGGTTCTGGTTCTAACATGAGGGATTTTCAACCTGAACTAGTTTTAGATGCTATAAATACTGAGAGTGCATATACTGGCTCTAGTGTATTTCTAGTTTGGGATATGTGAGAGAGTTAGGATGCTTTCTTTGGTTTACAATCCCTGTTAGATTACTTAAAAGGAAACGATGGTGTAAATGCATAAAAATATGTAAACAATCACCGTGCAAAATGTGTAGGGAATGCTTTATGATAACTGTTCCTGGTTACATAGTATAGAAGATTGCATTTATAGATGAAACATATACTTTATCATGCAGGTCACTCTGTTGTCCCCTTCCATACTGCATGATACTAATTATGTCCGTAATGTCACTTTTACATGCAGGTCACTCAGTTGTCCCCTTCCATACTAAACTCTGAAGGAGTACCAGTCTATCGATGTGTTCAGAATGCTGGAGAGTTTGTTCTGACTTTTCCTAGAGCATATCATGCAGGTTTCAACTTAGGTTTCAATTGTGCGGAGGCAGTAAATGTAGCTCCCATTGATTGGTTGCCCCATGGACAGATTGCTATTGAGCTATACCGTGAACAGAGAAGAAAAACCTCCATCTCACATGACAAACTATTGCTTGGAGCAGCAAGGGAAGCAATCAAAGCTCAATCGGAACTCAATTTACTTAAAAAGTATACTTCTGATAACTTGAGATGGAAAGATGTGTGCGGAAAGGATGGAGTCTTAGCTAAAACTCTCAAGGTAAGTATTATGCCTTTTATTTAAATTTGTCTTTGTGCTGATTTAATGGTGGGATTTTATGAATTCTTATTTAGTAGGTTCAAAGTCTATAGCTGGTGTGGTTTGATTCTTAAGTCGGAATTGAGCCTCCAATTCACATCTAACGTTTTTGATAAAATTATCACATGGTTTTAGATTGGTCCAAACTCTGGAGAATTGTATATTTACATATAGACACAAAAACCCATTATGCAATATGTAAATTCAATTTGTATAAAACATTTTCAATTTTCACTTGATTTGGATTTATTGTTATTAATTAATTTTATCTAGTAATTGATTATAGTCGATTCAAATTCTGAAATCGAATCCATGTTTGCTGAAGTCCTGTCATATTTATCTTTATGATAATATTTATACAGTAAACTCATTAGCATATACATGCAATGCTTATTGTACCTAGCGTTGGTTTTGATCAACTTTGTTAACTTTTATTGTCCACAGGCACGTGTCGAGATGGAACTCCTAACAAGGGAATTGCTTTGCAGTTCCTCTCAGGCTGTGAAAATGGACAACAAGTTTGATGCTACGAGTGAGAGAGAATGCAGTATATGTTTTTTTGATTTGCATCTTTCTGCAGCAGGTTGTCATTGTTCTCCTGATAGATATGCCTGTCTCAATCATGCAAAGCAACTCTGCTCATGTGCTAGGGGTGCCAAAGTTTTCCTCTTTCGCTACGACATAAATGAATTAAATATCCTTGTTGAGGCATTGGAAGGAAAACTAAGTGCAATCTATAGGTGGGCAAGACTAGACCTTGGACTGGCTCTGAGTTCTTATGTCTCCAAAGAAAATATAATGGGTGGTAGAATATCACATGCCCTGGAAGTAATACCTAAAGAGATTCGGTCAAAACCATTGGCAAGTTCCTTCAAAGATTTGCCAGGAGGAATGCTGAAAGAGGAGCCCTTAATTTTAGCTCTGATGTCTAATCAGATTCCATTGCTGCAAAGAAATAATCTATCAGAGGCTGCATTACTACCAAATGATCCAAAACTCAAGTTTAAGAAAGAGGATTTGGTTCTTTGTGCTTCAAACTTAAGCATGACAGGTTTCCAAACTGCCGTGGAAAGTAGAGTGAAAAAACCTGCAGCTCCAGTAGATGGTAATGTTATTATTCTTAGTGATGATGAAGATGATGAACCAAAGAAACCAGTTTTAGAAAGAACAAAAGAACAACCTGCCGCTAAGCAGTCAGAAGTCCCAACGAGATCTGTTGAAAAAATGAGCCCATATTCATACAAGAATGAGCTTATCTTAACTACCCCTCAAATTGATACTGCTGTTATGAATCAGAGGGATGCCAGTTCCCCTGTTTTACAAAGGAATAGTTCATCTCAATATTGTCAAGGGAAAGATGAGCATACGGGAAAAGGCATCGCGTCACTAGGATCTAATAACCCGAATATTTATTGTTCTTTAGACTCTGGCGCTGCAGAGTCTGGTGGGATTGTTCAGAATTCTTCTAATACTACGGAGATGGATGATAGCAAGAAAAATCCGGTGACTGTTGAAAGCAACCATCAGAAACTGCTGCCGTTGGGCAGTGAAAAAGCTATTAAGGAAAAACATGAGAATATAGGAGCCATTGTCTCAAATTCAGTTGACAATGCAAGAAGTAATGTAGGAGGGCCATCTTGCTCACAAAATATTCTGGGTAGAAATTTTCGGCAGAAAGGCCCTCGAATTGCCAAGGTAGTGCGTAGAATCAACTGTAATGTTGAGCCTCTGAAATTCGGAGTTGTTCTCTGTGGGAAGCTATGGTGTAACAGCCAGGCCATTTTCCCTAAAGGTAAGTTGCATTTGCGGTCTATTAAGGCTGATGCATGTCAGTATGCTAAGTAAGGCCAACTACTTATATTTAATCCTATTCTAATTAATGCAGGATTTAAGAGTCGCGTTAGGTATATAAGTGTTCTGGATCCAACAAATATGGCATACTATGTCTCAGAAATTCTGGATGCAGGGAGGGATGGACCTCTGTTCATGGTAATTTAAAAATTTATAGTACCATCTATGTTTTCACAGTTCGCAGTCGTATTAAAAAAATTCATAGTAGATATGGATAGATTTATCTCTGTCGCTAAACATTAAATTATGTCTGCGATGTTAATCTGATTATGTTTGAAGAGAAAAGCAGCTATGCATTTTACCTTTATTTGATCATTAAGATAAAATTTGGTGTTTATTACCATCGAAATAAGCTAATAATTATCAGGAATATACGGGTTTTTAAGCATGCTTGGCTTAACCGCTGATTGGATTTCAGGTTTCTATGGAGAATTTTTCCTCTGAAGTATTCATTCATGTTTCGGCTTCCAGATGCTGGGAGATGGTGAGGGAGAAAGTGAATCATGAGCTCACGAAGCAGCATAGAGTGGGAAGGACCAACCTCCCACCATTGCAGCCTCCTGGAAGCCTTGATGGCTTAGAGATGTTTGGTTTTTCTTCACCAGAAATTGTTCAGGTAAATGACTTGGTATAATATTTTAGCGATTCTTTCTGTGGTGAGTTCATGTTTGGTTCAATTTCATCTACACGAACCCTACCACTATTCTAGTTTGGTTTTCGAAGTTATTCACTAGTTTCTAGAATCTTTGTTATAGAAAGATTAAACAAGTCATCCCATCTCATGTGTACAGTCTGGAATATTGACGATTTTTAATATCGAAGTCAAAAGCTGTTTCCTTTCCACTTGATTAGTAAAAGTAAGCCAACTAGTTTATTTCACTGTTTTCTCCCCTCGTAGTCTTTTTATGGCTTTACAACTTTATTTCATGGTAAATGCTTTACTCTAAAAGAAGTAAACTCATCTTTTATGTGGTTTACATATAATCTAGGCAATTGAGGCAATAGACCTAAATCGAGTTTGCACGGAGTATTGGGATTCTCGTCCTTACTCACGGCCTCGAGTGCAGATTTTACAACATTTTCAGCCCCGTGGTAATGGTGAGAACTTGGAGAGAATAGCCGGGGAACAAAATGCAGAAGCTGTTGGGAAAAACTGCTTGCTTGGTGGAGTTGACACTCTACTCAGAGACCTATTCAAGAAGGCCAACTCTGAAGAACTACTTTCACTTTGTAGTATTTTAAGTGACAAAAGACCACCAATGGATGTGGACCTGATGGTTCAACTCCTGAACGAAGAGATTCAAAGTCGTCGTTGATGATCAAAATTCTTCGGTCATGCAGATATGAGATCAAGTCCGGTATAACCCATTTCCCCTCTTGTTTTTTGGTTTCTGTAAATATCCACATCCTGCTTTCAAGCACTGCATACACATCTTTCATTCTTTAGAGCCAAAGAAGATTGATAACCATACTTTAGTTAGTTTCCTGTTTTACACCGATCCATACTCAACGTCGTCAATACAATGTCATGTAAACAAAGCTCATGCTAACTGAATATTTGATATTGGTGAGAAACCTTTTTAACTTTATAAGATTTATTTATTTATTTTCTATTGTAGGCTGCTGCATTTACTCCTTAAGAAATGATTAATGTGTCAAAATTTATAAATTATAAAATAAAGAGAAAAAAATAAAACAAACTATTATATAAAAAATATTATTATAATATATCTCTTTATATTTTTTCAATTATCTTTCTATTTTATCAAATAATAATAAAAAATTTGTTTCAGATCCAATCGAAATCGAACTTTAATTTTAAAAAATCATATCAAGTTTGGCCTTTTGGGATGGATAAATCCTTTCTAAATTTCATTCTAATTGAATTTGATAGAAAAAGTATACTACTTAAGTAGTTAAGTTAGAATCAAATTAACTAAAATTTTGATCTAATCTAATTCATAATTATCCTTAATTATATTTACAAAAAGAACATTATATTCACATTGAAGACTAATGCTACTATTCTTTCGCCAAAGTTAACATAGTGTCAATCTTAAATTTGAGACATTAGAATGGTCGATAAGAATGCAACATCCTATTATTATTTATTCATACACACTGCTACCAATTACTAATCTTAAGATTTCTTTAATTATATAATGAATAATCATAAAATTTACTAAATGTAAATTTACAACATGAAATTCAAATTAATGTTACTTGAGGAAGAAATTATCTCATATTTGCGTTACTTGAGAAAAATCCAATCCAACATTTTCCCATACTAGAAACGAAATAGGTGTCACCCTAAATGGCAAAAGTAGGCGAGGCGACTCCCTAAGAAGGCAAGGAAAGGAAGAAAAACTAGAAACGACAATTATGTTGTACGGACAGCAGCATCCGACGGATGAGATCAAACCGCTTGACCACAACCGAGAAAGAGGAACACGGTGCACAAGCCCAAACTTACTGCTCCATTTCCCACATGGTGTCTAATTGGCCACGCGGCTTGACGTGTCAACCAATGCACCATTCACCGTAGATTGCGGGGGATTTAGTTGTACGGACACTCGTGTTCTTTTGTTTAGTAGGGGATTGTGCGTCCAAGGTAGCCTTTGCAGACTCTTTTTCTTATTCTTTTTGTAGGCACCATTAAATGTAACAATCATAGCTCAAGAACAACGTTCATGCACTGCAAAAGCAACTGGAAGCATGCATTTTGTTTGCCGTTTTTGTTTCGGTATAAGAAGTAAGAATACGTAGAAAAAAGCCTACAAATATATACCAAGATTGTAATACAAACATGTTATTTCAACAAAATCTGCAAGAAAAAACAAATGCAAGCGTAGGTTTATAAATAAAACTAAAATAAATGGGTATGAGCCCCAGATTGTTTGAAAAGGCATTGCCAAGTTCTGTGCTACACTGATACGATGTTGCCATTGGGAGCATCCATATATGTTTTTATGAACCAATTTTTGGCCGGTGCTGTGCAGTAAGGACTCTGTATGTTCATTTCCAATAATATATATGTTTTATAACACAAAAAAACCCGTAAAAATGGCTTATTGAAACTCATATACATATTAATATGACTTCTTTATAATTATAGCTAAGATTCTCACGCTCAATATATACAGAGAGTGTTAGGAAACACTTGTATGTATAGAAAGTTAGCAAACAGTAAAATATTTTTAGTTTTATATGAGTTTATGGAAAAAGAAAGATGAAATTAATTTCTTATTTTTTTTGATGAAAATCTTCTTATTTCTTACCGTTAATCTCAATCATCTATTTTCATTCATCAAACAATCCTAAAATTATGTAAAACTTTGAACCTCTATATATTAAAAGTTAAAACTTTAAAAAATATATAATGAAATTAGACTTTTATTTTGTCTTTAATTTTTGCAGGATAAAAAAAGTCTAAATTGAAAAAAAGAGATTTTTTTTTATATTTAGTCTTTAAATTTTACATGATTTTCTCGTTTCATTAATTTCTCTTTCGTTTTAAATCTATTTTTAATCAAATTTGAATCGTATGTTCCTTTAACACTATAGAATAACTAAGTAACTTCAAATTTTTAAGCAACAAATTTCTTTTTCTTGTAATTTAATATTTTAACTTTATATTTTATTCAATTTGATCATTTGATTCTAATTTTCTTTTTTACAAATTAATAATTCTAATCAGTTTTCCTTTGTACTCATAAATATTTGTTCTTCAAAATTCTTTCTTTTAAAAATAATATTATAAATATATTTGATAAACTTATATAATATTTAATTTATTAAATAACATTATAAATATTACTTATACATGTGAAAATATATATATGTATATATTATATAGTAAAAGGATTTTGTTTAAATTGAAACATTTCAACCATATTCAACTCAAATTTTATATACACATTAGATTCGAAAAATCTCAAATAAAATTTAAATAATAATACAAGACTCATTAACTCTATTAATTTAAAATATTTTATCTCTACTCGATAAAATAGTCACCCTATATTCTCCTCTTCCCGATGCCGTCTTTCAACATAAACACTTTTTTATTGGATAAATTTTATAGATATTATTATTTAGTTAAAGCATATGGAAATGCCTGATTAATGGCAGCAAGAGAGGATTTAGAGAAATGCTATGTTTATATATCAAACCACATAGATATCATTACATCAATATCTGCCAGTATCATGGGCATTGGCCAATACACATTATATATTATAAAAGATTAATCAAATAAACCATTGAAATACCATAGTAGACAGCAGAAATAGCTTATGGAAATAAAACCCATAAAAACATCTGTTGATTGCAGAATGACCCTATGGCCTATTCTTCTTCCAATTTTATATACTACTTTCTGCAGAAAGGGGGGAAATTCTCCATTAGCATCAACCCTATAGAGAAAAAAATTCCCCTAAAAGAAAGAGTACCTACTTAACTTAGTACACTCCAAACATGAAAAAAAAAGTACATAAAATTTTCACTAACAAAGATGTTTATAGTGAAAATTGTCACTAATATATAATCAACATATATTGTCCGAGTTTGTTGAGTGTAATTATTAACTTGCAGCAGGGGCGTCAGCAGTTAATGGTGGTGGTGGCTCCACCTTTTGCATCGGTCTCTTTCTTTTCTTCTCATAGCTAACACCTCTAGCTTTGGCCTGGAAATCCCTCACTTCCCTTAAGAAGATCCTCGCTGCTCGGGCTCCAAAAGGGCTCCCTTCTGGTTTACCTCCATGTTCCTCATAAGCATCTCGGAGTCGACCGATGAGTGCATCGAGGCTACCCCAGGCTTGTCTAAGAGGACAAGAGCAAGGAGCTGGTGGGTTGGGGAGACCAAAGAAAGGACATGTCTGGTTATGAACCTTGATCTTCCCAAATTGATCGAGGTACCTAAGAAACTTCAGAACATGAGCACCACTACACTTTGAAACCGACAATGGTGGCCTATGGTTCCTCAGGTATTGACAAAAAGTGTTCCAATCCCTGCGCTTCTGGTTCTCATAGCGACTCCGGGTGGTCGATGCAGTGGTAGAAATAGGCGTTTCGGTGCTGTTTGCTACGAGGTTTAAGCCCAAGATCGGGCTTGGAAAGTTGTTTGGATTGCTTTGTGGGGAAACCAAGTCCATTATTTTGCTGATGGGTGTTATCTTTGTTTTAGGGTTTCACTCGTCTTCTATATATATTCTTATTGAAAAAGAAAACACTGAACGGGATGAATTGAAGGTGGATAATTAGAAAGAGAAGAACAGTTTCAAAGCTTTTTCAGTTGAGGTATACAAACTACGATAGCTCAAGAAATGATGAAATGCAAGATTCTGCATGGCTTCCACGACAGAACTTACGAAGATAACAAGAAATTGAAAGAGAGAGAAACCAAAAAAAGGTTGCCTTTTCTCTTTCCTTTTTTAGACTTGTTTCAGTTTGAAGAGGCTTACCGGAAAGAAATGGATGAAAGACTGTAAGAATCTGGGGTCTGGAAATAGGGTTTGAAGGGATGAAATGACCAGATTTTCATCTCGTGAATTTTTAGAACATTATTGATAAAGTAAGAAAGAGACGGGCAAGATGAACTGAAACCAAAAACTAAAGAAAATTTGATATCAAGAACCCTACCGCAGCAAATCTGCCTGGGTGAAAAGATACGGGGAAGGGTTCAGTAAGTGGAAGACCCAATGGTTAACAAATAGTAAATAAACCGTTTTCCCAAAAGTAGGACAAGTTTGGCAGTGAAGATGCAGTGGATAGTAACCCAAGGGCTGTTTCCCACTTACATTCTTTCTCTAATCAAGATTTTATTTTTAATTAATTTAGATATTTATCAAATAAATCATGGTCATTTATGTTTTTCTAATTTGAAGAAATATTTTTCCCGTAAACTTTCATTTCAATTTCAAAAGGCTAAAAGCACCGAACTTAATAGCTAAGTTCACAATCTTGTACCACATCCCTCTTTGTTCATGACCCCTCCCCTAAAGGCTTGTAGGGTTAGCCCTTAAGAAGGGCTTTTCTGAGAGTTGAAGAGCTCTCTTCAATTTTTATTAAAGTAGAATATTATGTGTAAGATGAAGAGAAAATTTAATAACATACAAAGAAAACTAAACTTTATTTGCCAAGGGAATAACACGGCTTATAGGTAGGAAGAGAGAATGATGGAATCTTAAAGGCTTAATATTAATGTGGTCTACATATTATTTAGAGAAAATAACCTCAGTGACCAAAAATCCTAGATAATATACGATTTTAACCAACTTTTTTTAGATTTACGAAAATGACCAACAAAATCGCAATGCGATCTCTAATTCGCATTGCGATCTCCACTATCGCAAATTCACGTTGCATTTCGCATTGCGATAGTTGAAAATCGCGTTGCGTTTTTTCATTTCGCGTTGCGATAGTTGAAAATCGCGTTGCGATTTTTCATTTCGCATTGCGATAGTTGAAATTTGCGTTACGATTTTCCATTTCGCGTTGCGATAGTTGAAAATCGCGTTGCGATAGTTGAAAATCGCGTTGCGATTTTCCATTTCGCGTTGCGATAGTCTGCAGTGGTCGTGGTCGTGGTCGTGGTAATACGTGTCTTCGACACGTCCGCGCGGATACTATCTTTTTAGAGAAAATTCTTAAAAAACAAAATCTTTTTTTTAACTATCGCAACGAATTTGGAAAATCGCAACGACAACTGTAGACTATCGCAACGCGAAATGAAAAATCGTGCGATTTTCAACTATCGCAACGCGATTTCCAACTATCGCAACGCGAATTTACGATAGTGGAGATCGCAATGCGAATTAGAGATCGCATTGCGATTTTGTTGGTCATTTTCGCAAATCCAAAAAAAATTGGTCAAAATCATATATTATCTGAGATTTTTGGTCACTGCCTCTGAACTGATCTTTCAAGATTCGTACCAATTTCAGACTTGGTAGCCATTTTCTTCTTGCACTCCATGGAATGCTTGCTGCAAAATATTCAAACAAGGAATAATGAGTAAAATATTACATAGATCAACAAGCAAGAAACAAGGACGATATTTGGTAAAAGTAGTTGCAAATGTTTGGAATCTAATCGAGCCTTATATGCCGGGTTCGGAACAGGGACGATGTTGATTACCTGAAAGCAGGACAAAGTGTACTGCACATCACTTGTTGATATTTGGTGGTGGAGGACGATTCTCATCCTTAATATAACATGGAAAGAAACCGCATCAGTTCGTGCTGTCTATGATCGTTATTCAGATATTGGACGTGCATACGTAAAAGAAAAACGAAGATTTGGAACAACATAAGCATGCTGACCTGTATGGGCCTTCTGGCATCACAACTACACCATGTTCCTCTAAGTTCTTGTATAGTTTCTCTGCTGTGATTTTCGTTTCCTCCACTATGTCAAAGTGTATCTGGTGAAATACAGTAATATGAAGAATATAAGCAAAGGTGATTGTAAAAAACTTTTGTTTTGCTTTTACCTGCTGGTAAAAGTAAATTCTCCGCAGTTTTCTGATGCAATTTTTCATTCAGTTTTCCACTATTTCTTGGTGAGCAAGGAAGCAACAAGTAAATAAAAATAGGGCGGACACTTATTTTACACTTCACTTGATAGATCGAATCGCAACTAGGGGTATATAATCGAGCCAAGATAAGCTCGAACTTGCATTCTAATTGAAATTCAAGACTTGAAACTCAACTTGCTTGATTCAATCACGACTGAACCAAACCCGAGTTGTTTGCAAGTATGTAAAACCTCAAATCCGGAAATGCAAAGCCAAAGAGAACATTGTTCTGTAAATTCTAAAACAAGCATACTCACGATATTCGTTTCCATAGCCCCTCTGAAACAATAAAAACCAGTATGAAGTCGATGCATTTAATTTGATGTCTGATATAGGTGTCGGAAACGAATATTTTATGTAAAATAAAGAATCAGAGTAGCATATACTTAAACCATAATTTACCTGCTAACATCTTAGCCTTCTTGTGATCACCTTCAAGCTTTGCAATATTCTCTTTCAGAGCAACAAAAGCAGCAGCACAGATGAAACCAAGCTGCTCGTCCCACCGCCTAAGGTCTTTCGACGTCTTCTAGCTTAAGAAAAAGGTGATGGAAATGCAGTTCAAAGACAATTTTTTATATGTTGCAGAGGTTTTTAGCTGCAAAATTTCAGATTTTACCTTGTTGATAAAGCTTTTGGATCCAACAATGACTGATCCAACTGGAGCACCCAAACCTTTCGATAAACATACCTATAGCATACAAATGCAATGAAAAGAAGTGGGCCAGAGGGGAGATCTAAATCCATTATTTATAAGATCAAACACTATTCAGATTGAAGTTGTAATTTTGGAAAACGACTGTAAATTACGATGAAGTATAGGATAACAACTGAAACAACAATTAATAAGAACATTGAAAAGATGAAGAAGCTTAAATAAGCAAACCATGATAACATAAGGAGCATACCGAGACGGAATCTGCAGCTTGTACGAGTCTGTTTACAGGAACTCCGAGTGCCTGACAGACTAATACTTTAGTTAGATACCATGATAAATGATAGTTTTCTGTATACATTTAAACATGAGAATACAACAACAATATAAGGCTAGTCATGCTGCCCAGATTCTTCATTTTCTTGTATGCGTTTAAACATTGTTTGGACAATGGTACGGAGATACGTGGATCCTCCAAATGTAACACCCCCAACCCGTATCCGAGTCCTAGGTGTCACATTGACTTTTCAAAATATTTACTTGTATAAAATAGCGAGTAATTTAAATTTTTTTATAACATATAACTTATTCAAAATATTTACAGAACTATTCAGAGCTTATACAATATATTATTTTGAATACATGCCAACTAGAACTTTATATAATAAAATACATATTATTCACCTTTCTTCTGATCTGACATTCGGTAAGGAGAACTGACCTGTCTTGCTCCACATTGCTCTTTACTCTTCTCACTTCTGTAACCTACATGTGAAACATTCACACGCTAAGTCTATGACTTAGTGAGGCATTACATTTATAAAAGAACTCTAATTATTTAAACATGCATGAACACATCATCTCATGATGTCATACCAAAACAATTTAACATTACATACAATGTAATATACACATACATATCTCACACTATTTCCATTACTAACCTTATTACACTATCCATATTCTTATCATTTATGTCTTATAATCATATACTCATACATTCATTCTTTTAAGCCACATATGATTCAATTAATCAAGCAATATACATATCATATCATATATCATATAATACAATTCATATCACACAAAAACATATAATTTACATGTAATATATGTATATTTATTGTTATCTCTTTGTTAGCCCAGGTACATATGTGAGAACTGTAGATATGTGAGTCTATTGAGGTTGTGCACTATGCTGTCACCACAACTCGTATGTGGTCCCACTAGGGGCTATGAAATTTGTCCCGAAGGGCCACTATGAAATATCCCGAAGGATCACTGTATGTCCCGAAGGACCGCGTAGACCCTCGACTCTTGACATGCCAACTATACCTATAGCTCTCGTATCATATAACATGGGCATTTTCACTTATATCATTTCACATATAAGCTTTCATATTACATGTCATATAAGCTCATAGATTCTTTCACATATATATGTAGTCACATAGCTTCTTTTCATATTCTCATAGGATCACATAGCTCGTATCTTATACTTTGTTTTCTCACGTTCACATATATCATGTCATATGGCTCATATCTTTCTCATGCAGTCACATAGTTCAGTTTCACATATGTTCATATATATACATCACATAGCACATACTTCTCATATCATTACATTCAAAAGCATGTTAACACATATAATCATGCATACATACAATTCATGTCATTCATATACGTATAATTATATATTCATGCATTTTAATATAGGAAATAGACTTGTCGCAAGTATTGTTTCCATTTAGCACCATAAACTAACTAATATGCACTCACCTTTAGGGATGGCAATGGGTCGGGTCGGGTCGGGTTTTTGGGCCACCCGACCCGAGAAGAAAGGGTTTTTCACCCGTGACCCGACCCGATGAAATTAAGGTTTCACCAGACCCGACCCGACCCGAATATATGACTTAGAAACCCGACCCGACCCGACCCGAAATAATAATAAAAAAAAATT